AATGCAAACTCAATGGTACATGTACCCATGTAAACTCAATGGGTACATGTACCAATGTAAACTCAATGGGTACACATACCAATGCAAACTCAATGGGTACGCATACCAGTGTAAACTTAATGGGTACATGTACCAATGTAAACTCAATGGGTACATGTACCAATGTAAACTCAATGGGTACATGTACCAATGTAAACTCAATGGGTATGTGTACCAATGTAAACTCAATGGGTATGTGTACCAATGTAAACTCAATGGGTACACATACATTTTTTTGTACCAATGTAAACTTAATGGGTACACACACCAATGTAAACTCAATGGGTACATGTACCAATGTAAACTCAATGGGTACATGTACCAATGTAAACTCAATGGGTATGTGTAACCATGTAAACTCAATGGGTACACATACCAATGCAAACTCAATGGGTACATATACCAATGTAAACTCAATGGGTACACATACCAGTGTAAACTCAATGGGTACATGTACCAATGCAAACTCAATGGGTACATGTACCAATGTAAACTCAATGGGTACACATACCAGTGTAAACTCAATGGGTACATGTACCAATGCAAACTCAATGGGTACATGTACCAATGTAAACTCAATGGGTACACATACCAGTGTAAACTCAATGGGTACATGTACCAATGCAAACTCAATGGGTACATGTACCAATGTAAACTCAATGGGCCCATGTACCAATGCAAACTCAATTGGCATCAATGTAATTGAACTTGATGTCTCTGTGAAATTCAAGTTCTATGAACCTATGAACCAATAGATGTCACACTAATAATAAACTTCCTGGTTGTTAGCTGAATTAATAATGGGCAAATAATACCAAAATGATAATAGCAGGGATAAGTTTCCGTTATACATGTATCAATCATTACATAGGTAATATCATCAAATCATGAAATACAGAAATCAAATATTCTAAGTTGTCATGGTAACATGTGATCACGAGTAATCAAACACAATGGGAAGAGTAGCAATATAAAAAGATGAAAAATATAAGTGACAGAATGGAATTCACTGTCACATATTTGATGTACAATTATTTTTAAAGAGTAGACAGGCGAACATTAGTCAATAATTATGGTGCAATCATGAATTTCAGACTTTTTAAAAAATATGTATGACAATATGGATTCTGACACCATGCACATTTATCAGTCTTCCATCCAATTTGTCTGTCATTTGTGAATTTAACACTCTTGTCAATTTATCTGAAATTAAAAGTGGCCCCCAAATATAACATCACAATCAATTTTAGATTATCCAGCTATTATTACAGAAATAGCTGTCACAATTAAAGTAAAGACAATGTTATGCTGTCTATGCACATTCTCTGAGTTTTGATCACTTCTATTACATCAGTCTTGTACTACATTGCAGCTCTTATGTGGTTTGTTGTAAAGTTTCTGTCTGGATAAAATAGAACAACGCTATTCAAGAAATAATACAAACATAAAATTTAATATGTTTAGATCATATATGGAAACTATGTCCATCATTTTGGGTGAGTACCTCTTCACAGTAACATACTACACTCTAACATAGTCTAACCAACATAAGGGTGAGAGTGAAATAGTACCTCTTCACAGTAACATACTGCACTCTAATATAGTCTAACCAACATAAGGGTGAGAGTGAAATAGTACGTCTTCACAGTAACATACTGAACTCTAACATAGTCTAACCAACATAAGGGTGAGAGTGAAATAGTACCTCTTCACAGTAACATACTACACTCTAACATAGTCTCACCAACATAAGGGTGAGAGTGAAATAGTACCTCTTCACAGTAACATACTACACTCTAACATAGTCTAACCAACATAAGGGTGAGAGTGAAATAGTACCTCTTCACAGTAACATACTGCACTCTAACATAGTCTAACCAACATAAGGGTGAGAGTGAAATAGTACCTCTTTACAGTAACATACTGCACTCTAATATAGTCTAACCAACATAAGGGTGAGAGTGAAATAGTACCTCTTCACAGTAACATACTGCACTCTAACATAGTCTAACCAACATAAGGGTGAGAGTGAAATAGTACCTCTTTACAGTAACATACTGCACTCTAACATAGTCTAACCAACATAAGGGTGAGAGTGAAATAGTACCTCTTTACAGTAACATACTGCACTCTAACATAGTCTAACCAACATAAGGGTGAGAGTGAAATAGTACCTCTTAACAGTAACATACTGCAC